TCTGGGTCGACGATATCATTATCGCAGCAAGTAATGATCAATTGTTGAATGATGTAAAACAGCTATTGCACAATAAGTTCAAAATAAAAGATATGGGTGTCTTAACATGGTTTCTAGCAATTGAATTCAAGTGTGCCGAAGGTAGTATTGAAATGTGTCAAAGTAAATACATTGAAAAAATACTGAAGAAGTTTAACATGTCTAACTGTAAAGCCAAGTCAATACATTGTAAAATTAGTATGAATAAGCCTGTTGAAAATGACGAAATTTTTGACAATGTGTCTCTCTATAGAGAAATTATAGGTAGTTTAATCTATCTTATGGTTTGTACAATACCTGATCTATGCTTTGTCGTAACCAAGCTATCGCAACACCTGTCTAAGCCTATGAAATCTCACTTTAACATTGCCAAACAAACACTTCGTTACCTTAAAGGTACTCAGTACAGGGCATTAAAGTTTGTCAAAACTGACAATTTTGACCTCGTGGGATATAGTGATTCTGACTGGGGAATGGCTCAAGACAGGCGTAGCATTAGTGGTTACGGATTCAAGCTGAATCATCAGCCTTCACTTATCTCATGGAAGAGTAAAAAGCAACCAGTTGTGGCACTATCAACATGTGAAGCAGAATATATCGCTTTGTGTCTAGCCTCACATGAGTCCTTATTTCTCAAAAAACTGTTTTCTGATATGATGTGTGTTCAAACAAAGTCTGTAAAAGTCTATGTTGATAACCAGAGTGCCATTTGTCTTGCCAAAAATAACGTGAGTAACCAACGTTCAAAGCATATTGACATAAAGATCCACTTCGTAAGATCAGAAGTTGAAATAGGAAATATCGTTGTGGAATATATTCCAACAGAAATAATACAGCTGATGTATTCACTAAACATTTGAGTAGAAACAGAATTGACAAATTCTTACTGTGTTAAGAGTCAGTGTCATATTTATTTATTTATTTTATTTTTGCTTTTTTGTATTAAGAAAGATTTTTTATTTCTTTATTTGTTTGTTCTAAACATAAAACAGCTTTGCTATGTAATCTATTTTAGTGATGAAGTGTGAAAATTGTTCAAAAGTATTTCCACTGCAATGTATGTAAAGTTTAAGAGGGAGTGTTAGATTATAAACTTCACCATCACGTAGCGACCTCTATAGTTAATAATATCGCATGTTCCACTGTGTCGTACATTACCGCCACCTAGAGTTTGTACATAGGTCAACTTATCTCATTTCCGTTTTTCTTGGCACTTGATAATAAACAGTTGAAGCAGTTACATGTGTTGTTATTTTATCTTGTTAAATCTTGACTAAAAGCTCATCCACCATTACTCCAAACAGTAAATATGAGTGCAACAAGTGCCCCTTCCAAATTTGCCTGGACATCACCTGCAGCTGGTGAGGAATCATCTTCAGATGATGATGTAAGGCCTGCAGTTCAAAAACCTACAGATTTTAGAGATGAAGTAGAGGATGAAACTGATACTGCCTCTGAGGGAGAATGTGATATTTTTCTCGAAAATCAAGGTATTATTTTAAAGAAAACACAATACAGACAACTTGATTACACGGAAGAAGAAAAAGAAGAATGTCGTCATGCATTTTCAGAATAGACGATTGTAAATTAAGATATCAGCTTGTTAAGGAGTTTATTGATTCCTGTTGTAAAGCTAATTTTGATTTTGTTTCCATTGCGAATAATGCTTTTATAGGTTTCAAATCTAATTGGGTGAAATCCTTCGAGGATTCAATTAAAGAATCATATACCCAATTTTAGAAAGGGGAAGTTGAGAGAAAATCTTCAATTGGTGACTACTGGCATGTAAAAGAAGAACCTGGTTTAGAACCTTACCTCTTAGACATGACAAATTTCCATGGAGCTAGTCTCAAATTTAAACTACGATCAAATACATTAGCACTTGGTAAACGTACTAACAAATGGTGTATAGACAACACTGACACCCAATGCGAGATCTGTGGTTATGGAGAGGAAGATACTAAACATTTTCTTTTTGTGTGTAATCCCTTAGAACGTATCAGATCTGAAGAATTAATTAAGTTGAAAAATTATTTAATTTCTATTAACTGTGTTAATGTCTGGATAGACTTTTCATCTAGTGATCTATGTACAAAACTTCAATACGTCTCAGCAAGCTTCGATTTTTTCGATAATATTTATCCTGAACACATGTTTAATAACGATATTGCCCTCTTATTTGATAAATTCTGTAAATCGTATGCTTGTCGGGCATGGAAATTAAGAAGTGTACTTTTATTGGAGAAAAAATAGCAATGTTCTGAGAGGTACGCTTGACCATTTCACCACTCTTTTAAATTGTACTGCTCTTCCTTTGCTGTTGCATTTCTGATTGACTGCGTATGATTTGATGTATTCTTTTTGTATTTTATTTACTTTCGCTGCTTACATGTGTATATATGTATATATATTTACAGTTTGCGCGTATGTATGTTTATGTATGTATATGGGTATATTATTATTATTATTATTATTATTATTATTATTATTATTATTATTATTCGGGATTTTTTAAATTTTGATGTTAATGTTTTTTATTAATTGGTAATGTGGGTTTCTGTGTCTGTTTTCGAGATTGGAAAGGGAAGTGGTGGGTAATTAAGACTTCGATTTCGGGATTGGAAAAGGGAAGAGAGGGGTAATTAAGACTTTGATTTTTACTTTTTGTTAAGCTCATTTACTTTTACTTTTAATTTGTCATGTTTTGATTTTGTTTGCTTTCTTATATTTTTCTTGGACGCACCGTTTTATACGTGTGCCACTGTTGTAAAAGTGTAGCTTCCAAATAAAGAATATAATGAACGTGGCCTTCCATATAAAATAACTACGCCCTCAATCGGATCAATCGGATTTTTTTAACAAGCGTAGAACGACGGTAACGAACCAAGCGACTCGGAAATAAAGTTTGTACAGTATTGGATTACCATGTATTATTTTATCGCAGATGTTATCGCACATGTAAAACAACTATTCTAGCTTTCAATTTTATTTGATATTCAAAATAAAATCAGCCAAACCCATGTAAACATGCTCACAAGCCACTCACCGAATGATCGCATTGGCTTGTAGGCCTATGCAAAGTAGCAGTTTTCTTGGGTTGTTTTTTCGCCGTAAGTTAATATCCAACCCATGGCCGTTCGTATTTGATCTTTAGTGGCTTTTAGTCACATTTACATTTTTCTTTTGTATTTAGAATAAAAATATATTTAGTAGGCCATAGGCCCTATGTGATTAATTTGTTAATTACAAATTTTCTTATTACTGTATATATATTTTTTCAATTGCCTGTTATTTATGCAATCACTAGACCCTGTAACATAGCGTAGGCGTTGTGTTCATTCATGCTTGAAAGGACACAATATGGAGTCCCACCGCGGCTCATGTGGCAAACTCTCTATATATAGGGACTTTAGGAAGGAGGCCTAGTTCATAATTATTTTTGATTAAAACGATAGAGGGCGCTAGTTTCGGTAAATTACGTTAACTTCTGATAAACATAGATATGCAACTGAAGTTTAACGTTACATGCAGAAGCGCAGCGGAACGATATTTTTATGTAGGCCTAGTATGTACTGTTTCTTTTTTGTACAGTTTTTATTTACACAGTCAATGTATGGAATATTTCCGTATTAGTAAACGGAATATTTATAAATGTATCTGCTTGCTATAGATTATGTTATGGTACGTTATTCCTTTTGTTTGAGAAATTGAATAATTATTGTGAGAAAAACTTAGCAAGAAATAATACGGAGCTTTCGATTTGTGCGACGACGCGACGCTGGAATGAAATCGCTCATGCGTGACGTCATTTGGCCAAATCAAATTGCGTTCCAGAATCTACTCGACGAGGTGACCTTAACGTTCTCGCATGCGCAGATGACTTTTAGTGACGTCATTACGTTCTACGTCCTACTAAACTAATTCCTCCATGGTCCTACCGTCGTCGTGCAATCGAAAGCCCCCTACTAAACCATTACACGTGTCCAGAGACTAGTACTCATAATTTTGTATAACAGCGCAGCAAACTTGATTTATATATACATATATATATATATATAGGCCAATATATATATATATATATATATAATAAATCATCAAAGAAAGGTAAATACAGTGTTTAATAAAGGACAATAATACATCGCGTAGCATAGCTCTCAACGAATGTAGTCCTGTAAATAAATGAATAAAGTAATTGTGTAATAAAATGCCTCTGGCGGGACTCAAGCCTGCGACCTTTTGCTGTCAAGGCGAGCGTCATAACCATTAGACCACGGAGGCTTCATGGTTGAACAGATTCAAATACCACCAGATACACTCCATTACACAATAGGTACGGCTAGAACCAATATAGGTACTTTTAATATAAATCAAGATAGCCGTTAACACTGTTAAATTATATATAATAAATCATTAGCTCTCAACGAATGTAGTCATGTAAATAAATGAATAAAGAAATTGTGTAATAAAATGCCTCTGGCGGGACTCGAACCTGCGACCTCTCGCTGTCAAGGCGAGTGTCATAACCACTAGACCACGGAGGCTTCATGGTTGAACAGATTCAAATACCACCAGATACACTCCATTACACAATAGGAACGGCTAGAAACAATATAGGTACATATAATATAAATCAAGATAGCCGTTAACACTGTTAAATTATATATAAATCATCAAAGAAAGGTAAATACAGTAAGGTTGATCAACGCTATTATTGACAGGTGGGGTCCTTCCACATTTATTTCTCATTCATATATCAATATTATATTTACATTGCAAAAGTATTTCATTATGAGAAATGTAATAGTCATTATTGGCATGGTAATTATCAAGGACTGTTAACTGGTAACAGTACTTAAAATATGAAATATATGTATATATTTATATATGTATGCAATATGGTGATTTTTTTTAACAACGGTATATGTATTGCAATAGTCATGGACATACACATTACCCATTTGTCATGATTTGTTTAATTTTTAATTTTTCCATGAATATCTTATAATAATATTTACTTATTTGCGTAAACATAAATTTATATTTTCTTTTGAAAATTGACTTCATCAGTTCCACTATATATTTCAATGATATCTTCATTGTTTTATGTGTATAGTGTTTTTCATTACAGATCTGGTCATTTATAATTATATTATATTTGTACATTTCATTTTTCATTTCATTTATTTCGCCTTTTTTTTTTATCATAACAATACAGTAAAATATTCAGAAAATTCGAAAAGGTAATCCATGTTTCCCCCAAGAGCCGGCAGGATTACCAAAAAGTAAAATAAATTACTGTCTGAGTGGCTCTCCAACAACATAACACCAAATATTAATTTTATCATATTACCCTGTATACCTTTTTTAATAATTATTTTTTTGTAATAATGTAAAACAATATACATAAAGTATAATTCCTGTACCAACAATATACATAAATTATAATTCCTGTATCAACATACAATAAATTCCAATAATGTTATTATCGATACAATCCAACTTGCATATAATGTTCGATTATAATAACGCATACATTCGTTTCTCTATCTTAATTCCCTTCTTAGTACCGTTGGTGTATTTGTAGTGTTTTCAAATTTTTCATAATGAATTCTACCATGAATCGTTCTTGTGACAACAACTTGATCAATATTTTGTAAATCATGTTAGTGTAAAATTATATTTTACGATATTTTAAACGAGATAAATATGAAATTTATTAAAAATGGTCTTGATGATAAAGGGCCAAAAAGTATGGTAGTAAGATAGATAAGAAAAAGGTTTTTGAGTATTTGCATTATCTAATTATTAATCAAACTTGCTTTCTCTTCGTCATGACTAATTTTCAGTTTTGACCTCTCCTGTTTTTGACCATTATTCTTGACCACTTCTTGACTTGACCACTCCTGTTCTTCAACTTGTGCAAACATCAGATAAATAATCATCCCAAAAATCTGGACGACAGCAGTTATTGTAAACATTAAAGACCATTGTTTTAACACATTCTGAAAGTTAAAATTATATTTAAATAATCCTAATATCTAAAAGTATGCTTAGGCCTCAATAATGGCGTATAAAATGCAAAGAATTGTAAGACTTCTGATAACTTGGCAAAATCAGCACACCCACCTTTTGAAGATATTAATATGAACAATTCTTGTGTAAGATTTTGGATAGGCTAATTGGTGGACAAAATCAGTGCACCGGACCTCTTTTGGCAGGGCCAATTTTGGCGTGGATATATCGGTCATGATGTCAGATTAGATTTAGTGTAAAAAAGGGTGGCTTTAACCCAATGGTATCGTTAACAGTATAATAAATACGGTAAAAAACATCTTCAGGATAATAAATACATAAATAATCTTACATTATCTTGTGTTAGTAATCCAACGATGGAAGGTCCAATAAAACCAGCAGCACTGGATGTCGTCATTACGACACCTGTTATTATCCCAGAGTACACCGGAGAAAGGTCTATTGCGTTGGAAAGAATTCCGATATCCGCCATTACATAAAGTCCAAAAGCAATTGTAAGAAGACACTGCAGGAAGTGTACATTGTTGCTAGCACATCCAAAAGTAAGAAAACAGATAGCTGAAATTCCAAGCGCTTTAAATAAAGTTCAAAACAACAATTAAAAGCAGTCCGAAAATTTAATAGTCTATTCATCTTTATTTTCACAATCTATTAATATTAATAATAAACATTTTAGTAAAAGTATGGTTTTTAGAATGATAAATGGACGAACGAATGAACGGGCAATGGAATTAAACAAAAATGACAAAAATTAAATTAATGACTGACTGGCTGAATATATCAATCGATTAATAAATCAACCAATATATCAACCAGTCAGTAAACTATTTGGTCAAAATTTAGTCAGTAAATCAATACCGCAAAACCTCGAATAGAAGCCCAATGGGCTTAATCTGGAGAAGCCCATCTCGAAAAAAGTAACCCACACCCCGTTACTGTGCAAAAAGTAATCTCGAAAATAATCCCTTTTCTAATAGATTGTACTAGCATGGCTAAAGGTACAAAAATATTAAACAAAATTTCGAATTCCATAGATGGAAAATGACATACTAGTTTCATTCCTTGTGCCATTAAGGCACTAAATAATGACGGTATAGCATGTAAATTGTGTTTGTACTTCTTATGGGTGCCAGGGGTGGCGCCAGGATTTGCCCGACGGAGTGTCCGAGGTCCCCGAGGGGGGGGGGGAGATTCCCCCGACGACGGATAGATTTCCCCGACGAGAACAAAGTGGGCGTGGTCGAGTGTCGCTCAATATGTTCCGAAAGCGGTCCAGCTAGGGGTGGAGCCCCCCAAAATTTTGACAATTTAGGGGTTTCAAAGGCTTTTAATCCATTTTAGAGTCTACTAATATGTAGAAAATGCATATACAATTTGTTTTCTCCCCGACGAATTGTGGTTTTGTCGCCGACAGGTGTGAGCTATCCACCCCCTCCCCTCGCCACCCTGATATGTGCGCACATATTTGTGTACGGTTTGTATTTGCGGCAGTACACAGAGCCAATCCAGATTTCTATGTATAGGCCTATGATATGTACATTGATAAAATAGTTATATTGTATTATTGTATTGTATAGTACCCGTAGCTAATTCGAAATATTTACAGGGTTCATTTTGAATAAGAAGCCCCCTCTTTTGCTAAAGTAATCTATAAAAAAAAAAAAAAAAAAAAAAAAAAAAAAAAAAAAAAAATTTTGAAAAGAAGCTCATCCAAGGGTCCTAAAAAGAAGACCAGGTCTTATTTTCGAGGTTTACCGTATGATGTCGACAGGTCTAAAATGTTCAGATCCTCATTAAGAAGGAAACATAATTCAAACCTTGCTGTAACTTATTGAAAATATTAAAATGATCAAACGGTCTTAGAATAAAGATAAATATCAAAACAATTTCTTACCTAAAATTGCATATAATTTTCGTGTATTTAAGGCGCAAAGATATCCACGCTGAATAAGAAAATCCATGAATTTCCACGACAGGACCATAAATGGAGGCTTCAATATACACATTATGAGAACCGAAACAGCAACCTACAAGTCGAATAAATAACAAAAGAAAATAAATAAAAGTTATTGAAGAAGTGCTTGATATAAAAATAAACATTGTATTGTAATATTTTTACGCCATATTGTAAGATTTTTTCTTCAGCTTACTGTTAAAGTTAACCCAAGTACTCAAAGGAGGCGTAAATTTTATACTTACTGTTTGGAAGTCGTATCCTAAAACTGAAGACAAAAATGTTGGCGTATCCGTAAATAAGATATATTCGCCGAAGTCCGATGAAAAGTATCCTATGACAATTGCCAAAACTGGAGGCGAAGTAAAAATGGTCAGCCATGGAACAGATTTAATCTGAAATAATTTGATACATACCACTGCAGATTAGTATATTAGTTAATCATTATTAAAAAGAATACAAATCATCTTGCAAAATATCGCGTCTAAATGAAGTACGGTAGTATTGTAATACATATATTACATTTATACGTCACGAGGACGTCCTTTTATTATTATCATTATTATTATTATTATTATTATTATTATTATTATTATTATTATTATATATATATTATATATTATATATATAATATATATATATTATAATAATAATAATATAATAAATATATATATTACCAGATGATCGATGACACAATAAACCACTAATGAAATTCAAAAATATGACGATACTTTTGAGAACGATCATTTCAGGCAATGCCTGAAAACTTTATTAGGCCTAGCCAATGCTAGGCCTTACGCTTCATACATGTTTCGACAGGTCCTACTGTCATCAGTATACATAGATTCCATGTAGGCAATCTTATTTAAACGAAGTAAAGTTTGTGACACGTCAGTCTATACGTAATTCAACCGTATCAAGTTGTGACCACTAAGATCATGAATTAAAAAAAATGTATAAATGGTAAACGGGATAAATGTATGAATGGTAAACGGGATGAAGTGAAAATGAAGTTAAAATGACAAAGTTAAATTAATATGGTAGAGTTGTTTGTTAAGTGAGGGCTGCTCTCATTGAATATGTAATGCCTCCTTTATTTTGAGATGAGTTGATGGGGCAGAGTCAACAATACGGAAACAGCCCACACTACAAGTTTGCATGCATTTGCGTGAATTCGTGTTAGAATATGTGAGAGTTCCTATCCACTGGCAAGTGCTCGCGCACGCGTGTTGAGAAGTGTCGGCTAGCACAAACAAATGTATATACAACACGAGAGCGGAGACCGGCAGGGACAGGATCTTTCACTGAAAACAGATTTTTTATTTTAAACAAAGAAACTTAAATTAAAAAATCATTACATAATTGCTTGAAAAGCAAACGAATTTTATGCAAGGCAATATAT